CCCCGCCTGCATCACAGCGCTGGACTTTAGCGCACTGCCACAATAGCATTCCCGTCCATACTCGACCCCAAAATATACTGATGCATCACAGAAACTCGCACAGCTTTCCACCGTCAAAGAATCCGCCTGCGTGGAGCTCCCATCAAGCACCCGATCTGAAGCCGAGTCGTTGTAGCCAGGGTGCGGAATCGTCCAGCCTAATTACCGTCGGTCCGAACATTTGGGCGGAACGCTAACGGAGCGTCTGAACCGTCTCCGTCCGTACGCGCCAAGAATAGTCTCAGTCCGGACGAAGCTTTGTTCAGAGGGACGGTGGCAGACGATAGTTGTATAATTGACGTTGATTTTTGCTGGCGTACCGAATATTCCATGGTGTTGACGGGCAAACGCCATCCCGCGTTGCCTGATTAGCCTTAACCTTAGGGTTATAGACACGTGCGCGGCCGCCTCCAACCGCCAAATATACTGCCGATATACTGCCGCGTTTTGCCGAGTATCTCCGACGTCGCAGCTTTCCCAACTTTTTACCAACACCACACCTTCTATAAAGCCTGTACCCGCCAGGGAGCTTGCAGGCTCATTCTACAATGCCTAGAGACACTACAGAAAAGTCCACAGACTCCCAGTTCACCCCGGACGCTTACGACAATGCCATTTGTTGAAAACACGCCGGACAACGCGATCACCGCTAGCAGCCTTACGTCTGAACCGTCGAATATCACTGAACTGCACCGCCAAAGCGACCTCTCCACCTCCTACACTGGCCGCCTGCGTGATGCTGATGGCTCTGTCTTCAACCCAACGCTTGCTGCAGGCTTCACAATGGTCCCTCTCACGCCGCTGGAGCGCCGCAAACGCAGATCACATATCTGGGAACATGGCTTCCTACCCACTAATATCGCCAAGGACGAATATTGGCTCTGTAAACAGTGTCACACAAATGGCCGGCACAAGGCCTATAAACTGACAACTACGAGCCACTCTACAAAGCATATTCGCGTCCATGTTCGCAACTACAGAGCCGGCAGTACGCCTGCGGAGGAGCCCTCTCGTCGGATCAACAAGATACGTTATAGGGCAAGGGCTGTTGAATGGACGGTTCTCACAAATCAGACGTTCCGCGGAGCAACCCACCCTAGCCACCTAGCTATTCTGCAGTCGGTTGCGGAGGATATCAACGTTTCACCCATCTGTCAACTATCTGATAAAACCCTCCGCAGCCTTGTTGTTCAGCTCTATAAGGACGCCCGCGTCCATCTAGCGCAGCAGATGCAACAGGCGTTCAGCTTCATAAATATCAGCTTTGACGGATGGACGTCAAGCAACGATTTGCCGTTGCTAGCAGTACACGCGCACTATATCGACGGCAAAGGCAAATATCAGTCACCCCTTCTCGCCCTCCCACTGATCGAGGGTCCTCACAACGGCGTCAACCTTGCGAACGTTATCACAAACGTGTTCAGGCAATATAGTATCACTGATCGAATTGGGTACTTTATAACTGATAACGCGTCCAACAACAATACAACAATTGTAGAGCTTGCTAGGAGGTTCTATTTTAATGCTAAACACGCTCGCCTGCGGTGTGCCGGGCACATTATCAACCTAGCGGCGAAGGCTATGCTATTCGGCAAAGATATTGAGGCATTTGAGGATATTATAAAGGCCACCGCGGATGATATTGAACAGGCCACAGCGCCCTCTTCACTGGCCAAATTGGACGAAGGAGACGACTACTACACTGCAGAGGACACATAGGAGGAAGTGCTTGCCTGGCGCAAGCGAGGCCCTGTAGGTAAGCTGCACAATATCGTTGTTTATATCAGTTATAGCCCGCAGCGGAGGATGCTGTTTGAGGCTATACAATTAACCTACAGCGACGCTGAACCCCTCCGTCTGATCTTGAATGGAGGCATCCGCTGGAACAGCACATACGAGATGATATCTCGTGCTGTTCACCTTCGCGCTGCAGTAGCCGATTACTGCCTCAACACCAAGGACCTTCTTCAGGATACACTATCGGCGGAGGACTGGCAAGAGCTTCAAGAGCTTCGCGACCTGCTACGCCCCCTGAAGCGTACTACAGAGACGCTGGAGGGTCAACCCATGCGTGGCCAGAGAGGCGCTTTGTGGGAGGTACTTGTGCACATGGACCTGCTACTGAAGGGACTTGAAGAAGCGAAGATACGGTTGGCCGCGAGGGACGATTCAGCAAATCTACAAGTAGCTGTCAACCTCGGGTGGCAGCTATTAAATAAGTAATACACGCTAACTGACGACACGCCCGCCTACAGGGCGGCAGTACTGCTTCACCCGAAGCTTCGATGGACGTTCTTCAACCGCAAGTGGAAGCCGGAGTGGGTGGAGGAAGCTAAGAAGGCAGTCATGGGGCTGTGGGACGACTATAAGGAGCCAGCAACAGTGACTGCACCGGTGCCTCAGGAGACACAGCAAACAGCGAATACGCACTGGCACGACGAGCAGTGGGCAGAGGATACAGCGCACTATATATTTGGCGATGAGGGCGAAGAGCAATTCGACGAGCTGCAGAGATATCTCCATGAACCCTATCTGAAGGAGAAGACGCATCAATTAGACGTCCTTCAGTGGTGGGTTATACGCCGGGAGCAGTACCCTACGCTTAGCAGAATGGCCATCGATCTGCTGGCGTGCCCGGCCATGTCTAGTGACTGCGAACGGTCCTTCTCTGCAGCAGGAAGGTCGATAAGTAAGCTATGTTCACGCCTCACTGAAGGTACTGCGGAGGCAATTGCGTGTCTTCACAGCTGGCTGCCCGCCGGCTGGGTACGTACGGAGGACTGGATGGCAAGAGGAATCAATGTTGAAGACGAGTGAGCGCCTCAGCACTACGCCAAGACATCTCCATGGCCGCGGGAGACGTTACTTAGCAGCAAACAACACGATTTAGCAAGAAACAGATCAGTGAGTAACCCGGCGTCACAGTTGACTTTACTGATGGAACTAACTGGCATGATTTGGCAGGGAAAACGGCCATTTAGTTCTGCATGCGGAGCTGCGGAGGACGCGCTACAACGTGCGTAATAACGTGCTAAACAGCCCGCGGGCGCGCGCGCGAACGTCCGCGAACATGCGAGCGAGCGTTGAACGAGCGAACGAGAACAACAATTGCTGCACGCTTTAAGTAGTCTTCGCAAGCTTTCGGCGGAGCCGTGAGAGGCCTGTTTTCCCATACAAATTGGACGTTTTATGGCATTGAATGGAGCGTGGGAGGACGCGGGGGAGCTCTAGGGAGGATAGAGCGGGGTAGTAGTTACCTGCCGCGCAGGGTAGAGGCCACGTGACCGTGGATAGCTAAATATCGCTGAATAACGCCACATTCGCATAACTGCCCCTCAACACCATGCCAAGACTCGTGATAACCGTCCGAAGGAGCCGGACGACTCACTTCACCGTCCAATTGAACGAGTGGACGGTAGGGACGGTGGACGATTCGTCCGGCCCACCGTCCGGCGCCGACTGGACGATTCGGCACCCTGATAGTGACTAGACCAAGCTCGTATGAAATCCTACCGACTGTGGCTTACGAAGTTATTAGAAGCGAGTGGTATCTTAGTGGTGCTTTTGTAGTCGCGAGAAGAGTCTTAAAAAATGGTGCTACTGATCTTTATCGGCATTAGAATAGCATAAAGACCTGAGAAATTTTTAGGTCGTCTGTATACCTCTTTGTTCAGTCGCCAGCTTCATCCATATCTGAACCTTTTTGTTCTCTCTAGTATATACGATGTAGCTCTTTGTCATGACTTCGCCTCTTGTTGATACTAATTTGGAATTTGGCGACATGTCGTGCCATGGCGGTGGTCATGTTAGTGATTGGAGAGGCTGTGCGGAGACGTAAGTGCACCAACTCTCTCGCCTTGACACACGTATAGGCAGGGTTTCTGATCGCCCCGCTCCTCGCTAGCGGCACCGTGTCGTACAAAGCGCCTGTCTTCTGGCACACGATAGTGAGCTTTGTTGAGATGGTCGTGCGAGATAGGCTAACTAATATGCAAAGTATCCGTGAGTAATTACTGCATGTCATCACCACCTTGCTGCAGTGGTTAGAGATGCTTATCCTAAAGGCTTTATAGACGTTTTCAGGTCCTAGAAAAGAAGCGGTATACAATCAAACCACGGTAGGTGTATTTTTCTATCGGACCTTTACATGAGTCCCGCTTCCATCGTCCGTTAGTTAACATAAGAAAGTAGCCGTTACCCATCAATCTATCCATCTCTAAGCCACTAACAGCTATCTTTTCCCTTCGCCTCAACGGTGCTTTGTCCCTCACCGACCCCACCAATCAGTAAGAAGCCGAAAGAACTTACGAGCCTTCCCCTCCGTCGGCGGAGCTTCTTGTCCCTGGAAAAGCTGTTCCACAAACGACGACGCGAACGTAGGCGAGATAGCCGCCCTAACCGCAAACTTCGCCGCCTTTTTCAAAACCGGAAATTTAGCAACAACATCATCGAGCCCCTTGCCATTTCCGCAGGAGCAGAGAGGCGTTTCGCCATATGCAGTGGAGAGTGGGACCTTCGATGTCTTGACGTACTCGCAGGATGGGCGATGGTTCCAGGTCCTGCATCGTTCGACGAAAGCCGGGAGGGTTTCCTTCCAGAGCTGTAGTTCTTCGTCGTCCATATTGATTGCCGCGATGTCTGGAGACTTTTTTGAATGAAGGTCCTGTATGAAGCCGAGAATGTGTGACATGATTTCTCTGGTCAGGACCAGTACTGCTGTATCCAGAACTACCGTACGGCTTGCAGCGTCCAGCCTGAGGCCAGACGCAAAAACCACGATGTGGGTGCCGCCATTGGAAGGGTTGTTGAGAAAGAAGACACCGGCTTTTTGGCCTTGTAAGCCGCTTTGGCGTATGAAAAGCGAGAACAGTCCCTGCTTGAATCGCGTCCTACTGTCCATGACACTTTCAGCTTGGGAAGATGAGAGCGATGCCTGTATCGCACGACGTTCTCTTTCTGAGAACATAAGCGTGCAATGCGGAACGAGCCACTGCATGCGTTTCTTCTGCTGGACGTCAAGGGTTGGAAGAGCTGCCATGTCCACCCGCGGCATGTTCCACAGGACAGGGGATGATTTGGTGGGGACCACCGGATACATGAATTTTAATGATCCTCCGCAGTCCACTGGGTCCTCTGCTAGTGCAGTTACCTCAATATAGGATGACTTCCGAACAATGTTGGTTTTGCTGCCTTGAAGAACTACTGGGATTGGGAAATGTATGTTATAACTGTTCTCTTTGCCGAGCATCACAGAGATACTGCATGGAGATATCCGAGTGGTATGGATAGTAGTATAGTTCCTGAGGATGTCCTTGGTTTTATGGGATGAGAGATCGATGCGACCAGTGAAGGATCCGATTTGAGCTGTACCGGCTTTTAAGTTTGCTAGGACTGACGAACAGAAGCCATCTTGTGAAGGGTCTTCGATACAACTTGTAGTGTCATTCTTAGAGTTCCGAGGCATGTGATTAGCCCCATGAGGAAGTTCTTTGGTGACAAAGACATCCTTTATGTTACTGATGGTAGTTGTGTAGAAATGCAGAAGGATAGTTGAGCGTTCGGATACTGGGGAGAATGATCTTTGGATGCCTAAAGCCAGAATAGCATTTTTGTCGAGTAAGAGTGTACTAGTGGGGACCAGAAAAGACACCAATAGTGGTGAGTCACCCAACCAACAGTCTTCTTCTTCCCTGACGTGGAGAGACAGTGTTTTGTCTTCGACTGAGCCAGATGTGGTCACCTTTCCAGACGCCTGTTGGACGACGGAGAAAATGTTTTGAAATGACTGACCGGTATAAGTTATCGAAGATTGTAGAACACCGTGCACAGCTGGAGTGCCTAGCTCTTGAGGTGATATTTTAGTTAACAATCGCAGTCGTTCTCTTGGGACTTTTAAAGTGAGGCAAACAACTTCCGGTAAGACCTTCCATCCCTTGAAGAGGGTTGAGCTACAAGCTCGACCGTCGGATCTAGGGCTCAGCTGTAGAACTTGATCAGAACATATTTTCAGCATGTGTAGCTGAACGACAAGCTCCTGGATACTTTTACCGCAGGCCAAAATGTTGGCGTTGTTTCCTAAGTATTGAAAAAGACTGTTCATAACTTTGTCCCAGTTGCAGGTAGGTGCCCGCTCTTTGATAAAATGCAAAAGTAGTGCGTAGCTTCCATGGTGATAGCGTGAGCTTCGTTGCATCTTTCGGGGTAGGTTACGTAAACGTGACATGAGGCGCCCGTCGTCTTTATTTTGAAACATGTTCAGATAGACATCGAAAAGAATTCTGGCCAGATCAACTTCTTCGAAAGAGATAACTGGTCTGTTTGAAGCTCTAAGCGTGTGGTCTGGTACGTAGCGCTTCCATGAGAGCCTGCTGTACATGTAGTCACCAGAAAGTTTGTCTCCGAGCCTGCGCCTCGCGGTGTTTAAAATGGCCTCGTCGGCTGTCGATATTGGAACGACATTTGTCCAGTAATCGGTTGGAAAGATTCCCAGGAGCACAGACATGGTCGAGACATTGCCGCAAAGAAAGCTTTCAGCCAAAGTACTGTGGTCCTTCTCTTGGTTCACCAGAGATTCAGTATACAAAGTTGCAAAGAGATTGTCATCCAGCAACGGCGAAGTAGCAATGAGAAGGTTAATGGCCCCGACGTGATCAACAAGGTTGGACGTGTTAATAACACTAAAAGACATAGGTGCGGTGACAACAGGGAGATAGTCTTCGCTGTCAAGCAAGATGGTCTCGAACGTTCCAGGCTTCCGATACGGACCGACTGCGATTCCCTTCTTTCTTTGCTGCAAGGCATGGCAAAATGCTAGTGCTTCCCCAACAAAGAACCGTAAAACCATTATGCCAGCATGTTTCCTGAAAGACTTGCACCAAGCTTGAAATTGCTGTCGAGCTGCTCGTACCAGGTTGTGCGCCGAAGACTGGAGAAAGGCATGTGCATGTGGGTCTGAGGTGGGCTGTGGAACCAGCGACGCATAGGCTGTGGCCAAGTGGAATCCAAGGAGTGGATCGGTACCGTAGTGAAGTATGGAAGACTTGTTTAGTTGAGATGTGAACATGGGGTTCGGCATAGCTGCGCTGTTCGCATTGGGCTTGTCGGTACTGCCAGTGTCCCAAAAGTGCTTGTGTTGTTTTGCAAGATCTTGAACAGCCTCGCGATTCAAGGGTGCAGCGGACCGCATGCCTGTGAAGACGAACTTTTCCCCGATATAATAGTGCCGGAGGTCCTTTGCTCTCTGGATTCTGGATCTTAGGCGATCAATGTGTGCAACTTTCTGACTGTTGTTCATATTACTGATCAAAAGATTGCTCCAAATCTTTTTCACTTCGGAAAAACTACTGCTGTCGCAAAAGCGGAGACGCTTGCCGTAGTTGCTGGCATGCCAGCTCTCCAAAGAATCCGAGACTGCCAGGAGTCTTGTAGTTTGACTTTCGAGAAGGGCCAGTGCTTTGGGGCCGATGAATAAGTGGTAGTAGATGTCCCAAATGTCCTTGATACGGTTTCCACCGTAGTCGAGAATGAGGGTGAACAGAAGGATGTTACGTGCTGGAGAGGTTTTGTCAGTAACAACAAGCACACGTAGTTTTTTCATGCATACCAATGACCAAGCTTTCCATATCGCAGCAGGTGATATCCATCGGGCTCGTACCTATTACTGTGAGTGAGTTTCTTGACCAAGGTTTACATCGACGAACTCACTTCCAGCGACGTGCGTTGTGTAGAGTATGTTGCGCGCATCTCCACATCCCAGGGACAACACATTGGCCTTCGTTTCGCGAGGAATGTCCCGGGTCAAGGATACAGCGGGGGTGTTGCCGATAGGATAAAAGAAGGTGAGAAGGTCCATGTGGGCCGTGTTCGCCATGGCGCGAAGAAGCGATGCGTTTCGGGTAATGGAACTTTGAGAATTGGGTCGAGAACTCTTTAACGGATTGTTATTCGTACTTGGCTGCGGTTTTGGCAGCGGCTTTTGGTGCGAGCTCGAGAAGACGCGCCGCGAGATTGGCGGCGGCTGTTCGTGCAGGCTTGCGAAGATGCGTCGCAGCACGAAACGTGACATTGTCGGTAATGATATAGCAGCTAAGCTGCGTATCCGGCAAGCTTTTCCTGGATTCACTTTCGTTGTTAGAGGCGGCGGATGAGTGCTTGTAAGAAGGGGATGGTGCGCGTGCGGCGGGCTAGCGTTATTGTCTTGTGGCGGTGGTGGCGGTGCGGGACAAACGCTAACTACCACAACGACGACGCGTTGCCCCTCCAAACAAGCCGACCGCCAACGCAAACTTTCTTTTCTCTCTCACATTACCTGTGCGACTATGCCTACGACATAGCTAGTCATTGTAAGTGCGGGGTGCGTTACCCAGGTCCTTTCACACGCACAGTTGCTAACACGATACGCAGGTTAAGCGTATTGCCGTGCAACACCTGGCATCCAAGTAAGCCGCGACAGGGAAAAGCTAGCTGCTTAACACATTACTGGAATGGGTGCAGGTGCGATCCGCGTAAGGTAGTAATTCAAGTGCGTCTCACTGTCGGTGCCAGACGAAGCAAATAAGCATTGCCAACCTGAGTTTAGGCAACCACGAACGTGATCCTACAGATTTTTTTTGAGAACCAGCAACAGGATTATTGCGGCTTACAAATGCAAGAGCGACAAAGAGATATCAGGCAAAGACGATTACTGACCGTGAAAGAAGCTGCCAACATCAGGTAAACAACACTTACGAGAGGTGCGTGGGTGTGGCAAAAGAAGTACAACTGTTCAGTAACAGACCTCGGTCAGCAGAGAGCCACCCACTCAGGTAAGCCTGAGCGATCGTAACTCTAAGCCAACTGTTGGGTTGTAGGTGTGAAACCGTGCGAGTAAAGGGAGAACGCGGCTTGATTTTGAAAGAGTGTCTGGCAGCGAGCTTTATATACATAAAGGAGTAGAGTAGTCATATCCTCGCTTATATAAGATATCAGGGTGTTGAAATAACGAAAAAGTAAAGTGAATATAGAGGGTAATGCATGAATAAACATGGCCTGATAGTCCAACAAGTTGTTTAGGTATGCGACGTGTGGATCGCTAATCCCAATAAGCTTAGAGACCCCAAGAATATCTCTTAGCTACGAGGCTGCAACGTAAAATTAGTCAGCTGTTGTATATTTGGCCCTATTACTAGTCGGGTATGGCGTTAAGGTTGAGTGTAATGGTCATGTATTGTGAGAACCGAGAGGTGCCTGCGGCCAGATAAAATGGCCGCGTTTTTGGTACAAAAAAGGCCATATTCGGTCGCTCCAGCGACACACGGTGGTCGCCTGCGTGCCCGCTTATTTGCGCGTTCGCCAGCCTGCGCGCTTGCGCGTCCGCCCGCTTAAACGCGTGTCCATGGAGCGACAACCGCTGGCGCCCAGTTGATACCTGCCTCACCCACTGATTTGTATGCTCAATTGTTTGTCAGTTTGACGATTTCCGACATGTCGTTTAAGCTGCTGGTGTCGTCCACATAGAGACTTAATAATGGCTACTTTGCTGCGTTTCTGGGGCCTAATTGTCTATCCTGCGACGCTTGTTGCCCTCCTCTTGACTTTCTGCCGCCGCTGCTACTGCCTGCCTATGTGCCTGCTGTGAGTGCTGTGTTGATTTCTGTGAGCAGCTCACTGGTGATGGAGCTCGCGGTCGTGTGTGGTTGTACCCGGGAGAGTAGTAGGGCGTCTGAGAAGGTGTTTGTGCCGGTAGAGAAGGTAGAGAGGGTAGAGAGCTGCTGATTGAGAGGTCCTGCGAATCCCTAAATGATGGAGGCGCTGGGATAGAGTTGCTGAACTGCGCCTGACGCAGTGTCCCGTGTAGTTGAGGCTGCTGAGGCAGCTGAGGCCACTGAAGGTGAGGTTGAGGTTCTGGTGACAGAGTCCTGCCGTATAGCTTAATGTTCTCAAGCAGCTGCGCATAAACCTCACTCTGGCAGCCTCGGTGATAGGCAAGGTTTTCTTCTTCGTCGGCAATGAGAGCCGCAACGTCGATATCAGTGGTGTCGTCAAGTCAGTGTTATGAGTGGGTAAGGTCTCGCTCTTGCGCCTCCAGTAACCTCAATCTGCTGAGTCCTCCGCTCGCTATACTGCTGACAAGACGCTTGGCGTTGAAACTCTGCCTTTGTCTTTTGTAGCTTCAACAGCTTAGCTCGTCAGCATAGCACGAGTCGGTTCATGTAGGTGTAGATCAAGCTGTCGAGATTCATGCCGCCGAGAGACGTTCTGTAGCCATTTATGATCTAGATAATCGCTGAAAATGAGCCCTCAGAGGACACTGAATGGGCGATAGTTGACTGCAGTCAAATAGGAAGCTTTTAGAGGTGATGAGAGTGAATTGCGTAGCCCTAGAAGGTCTGCTATTTACGTCCTCTACCAGTTTCCAGTTATGCTGCTCGAAGGGCCCTCCGCGATCATCGATGCTTGAAGTTAGTTAACTCGCGGTGAAAGGCCATCAAGTCGTCCGCTGGGACTTACTGTTCGAAGAAAGTGTTCATGGCCGCAACACCCTCTGCGTCGAACCTTAGAGAGGCGCTCTCGTCAGTACAATCAAGCGCCTTCGCGTCCCAATGAATAGGTGTGATCTGGGCGTCGAAGCGAAGCTTCTAGAGGTCGAGAACCTCCTCAATATTAGCGTGGGGGTGCTCGCCAATCACTAATTAAAGCTCTAGCTCACGCAAATGATGCGTAATTTTATCCAGCGGGTCGATCACCTTCGAGAGTGTTGAGATGTTGGATTCAGAGGCCACCTAGATCTCATAAATGACGCCTAACAGCTTATCCAGCCCGTGAACCTTTAGCCAGAACGACGAGTCTTGCAACAGCTGCTTTACGCGTTCAGCACCTCTCACTTCCTGGTCGCTCTTGAGGTCGCTAAACGCTCGCTAATCGACTGTAAGCTGCTTTGACGACGCCATTATCTTAATTAGGCTCTCTACCATGCCCTTGAACGTCCCTTAGTTAGCGGGCGAAGCAGCCGATAACAAGCGTGTAAGCTCTTTAGTCGTTTCTCTTGTAAATATCCTTCAATATTTGACATATAGCTAATGCGCAGAGACGGGCCGAACCTTAATGAGTGATCATCCATCTGATAACCCAATCTCAACGTTAGCCAAGCTAACAGGCGGCCCGATGAGCGTTTTATCTGATGGGTGGACGGGAAAAAGCGGACTCTGCAGAGGCGAAAGAGGTGGAAGTATCGTGACGTGTTGAGAGAGGCAACCGAGGCGAGGTGCAGGGTGTCACAGAAAACACGCGCCCGCGACCGTTCGTTTCCCTACCAACCCTCCACTCCGCT